GGTACTTACCTGAGCGTCCACCGAGTCAAATCACAATATGCACACTATATTAATTCAATGATCTACGATAAATCAATATGCATGGCATTTCTAAACATAATTTCATTTAAATCGATTTTTTGGGAAAAATCTCAAGTATATAGGTATTTCATGGTCTGGGTTCGCGTTCGTAGTCGCGAGGCAGGGGGGGATGAACTGGGCTTGGGCTGTTGTTTTTTTTTCTTTCTTCTTCTTCTTCTTCTTCTTCTTCTTCCCCATCTTAAAGTATTTTCTAAATTCACCCACACTAAAAATCCCAAAAATATGGAGTTCATGGTCTGGGTTCGCGTTCGCGGTTGCGGGGCGGGGGGGAAAGAATTGGGTTTAGGTTGCTGTTTTTTTCTTCTTCTTCTAGTTTGCAGATTCGGTTTTTCTTTTTACCTTTTTTTTCTTCTTCTTCTTCCTCCTCCTCCACTTTTATTTAATTAATTATTTTAATATTTTTAATGACATGTGGCGCCCAGTCATTGTCTACTAATACACCCCGACTGAAATCAAGGCGTGCTAGCCTTCAAGTGAAGGTGACGTAGCCATGTGTATAGTGTGAAAGCAATAATAATATACAAATGCGTATAAATAAAAACCAACCTAACTAGATCACTAAATAAGAATAAGTGCAAGACAAACTAAGTGTGAATTCACAACTAGAGCATAAGTAGCCCAAGTGCAGTCCAGCAGGACGAATACTAATTACACAACACCCAAAGGTGACCATACAATGGTGATAATCTGTCCAATCTACCGTGGATTCCTCCCAAGCCACCAAAAAGCACTCCTAACTAGAACCTGGAAGGGCGCAAAACAAAAAGTGTGAGTGGGCAAAAACAAAGCTTTTCAAAACCATTTCAATTATCAAAGGTAGTAACCCCTCGCCGTAAAACCCGTATAATTTCCCAGGAAATAGAATATATATCTATACCACAACCATGCTCATAATAGCAAAATTCACAAATATGCCATGTTGAATATCTCAACATAAAAATATGTAAGCCAGGTGATATAAATCAATGCAAATGATATGTCAGCCGGAGTCACCTAACATGACTTGTACGGCTCAAATCCACATCTCAACAAATATACCTACACACGAGTCGGAACCACCTAAAGTGGTCTATACGACATGATTGGGTGTAAATAAATACGTTCAAGTGCTACGATCACGTGAAGACTGTGCGAATAATTGTGGGTCACCTACGAGTCGGAACCACCTATAATGGTTTGTATGACAAGACTATGCACCTAACTTGGATCCAAGGTGAGCGTATGGTGCGGAAGGTGAACATCATGTGAAGGACTGTGCCATAACTCTGGGCGGGAACACTAACACCGGGATGCAGATTTATGAGCTCTCAACATGTCTCACATAATCATAAAGTAACATAAACAATCTACAACTCACCTGGTACTTACCTAAGCATCCACTGAGTCAAATCACAATATGCACACTATATTAATTCAATGATCTACGTATAAATCAATATACATGGCATTTATAAACATAATTTCATTTAAATCGATTTTCTGCGAAAAATCTCAAGTATATAGGTATATACAGAAAACCAAAAGCCCACTCACTGATATGTGGAAGGGTCGTAGCCCCCAAGCCTTGATTAACTGCGCTCGTCCTGAGGATAGGTCTCACCTATATGCGAAACAACTATATAAACGTTAATTTAAAGCACATAAACAAAACTAGCTAATAACTTCTCATACATTGCTCAAATGGGGTGTTTGAATATACCGAGGTGATCTACTCAACACCACAAACATCCCCAAAATTTTAAAATAATTTTTGGACCAACCACGCACTGCCACATGCCGGCAAGGGCACGGCCAAACACGCCCCCACGCGAGGCCAACCTAACTAACGAAAACTTAACTGCCGTTATGAATATTCCGTTAAACATACCTGACGTCGTTAATCACCATTAGGAATATTCTGTTAAAGTTGACGGAATATTCTCCTTCTTCTTCGGTGGATTGCCGGACTCCGCCATCGGCCGACGTCTGTGTCACTGGAAAGTGGAAAATTTTCAAAGCCTGATATCTCCGCCATTTCTCAACCAAATTTCATAAAATTTGTCTCAAATTGAAGCTCTAAACAAGTAGAGCATGTTCTTACCTTTCAAAGGTCCTAAAACCAACGGAAAAATGGTCAAAGAAATCCTTGAAAACTGGCTAATCCTGCAAACCCATAACCAAGCTCATTTTGACGTCCAAACTTAACCAAAACTAACCTAACACGCTAGAGAAGACTATTGATTACCTTTGTAAGTCTTAAAATTTGGTATAACCTCAACGATCACGTCAGAGTGAAATCGACTCCTTGCTGGAGTTCAAAGTTATGAGGTTCTCGAGGTCCTTACTTCGAACAACTGGTATGTACAAGTTCATGGGACCACGAGGGAAGTGATGGTACCTTCCAAACACTCGATCCGTGAGAGTAACGTAGGTTTGGAGGTTGGTCAACCAATGTACGGACGGATGCAGGTTACACGTGTGTGCGAGTGTGTGTATGTGTGTTCGGATTGGGCACCTAAAAACCACCCTAAGCTCTAATTGGGCTGCATTCCAAATCCATACAAAACAATACCAATTTCCAATTGGGTCTAACAAGGTAGGATATGAAATAATTGGTCCCATTCCTTAGCCCAATAACACATATCACACAACGTTCAAGGGCAAAATAGAAATTTCACATTGTCGATAAAAAATAATTTGGGACGGGCTGTCACACAAATTTGTCATGCATAATTTCTTGCTTTACCTCTCACTTTTGAGAACTAACTTCGTCAAGCATATCTCTTAGTTTGTGTTAAACAACTCTGTGACTGACAATTGGTGACATCTTTTAGGTTGTGTAAACAACTCTGGAGCCATATAGTCAGGCAATCGATGAGTATCTCTCATTTTGTATTAACAGCTCTACTCCAAGTTCGGTTGACTACTTATCCAAGTCTCTATCACAAGGATTCTTTGAGTTTAGACGGTGCAAAGAAGGGTTATTTTGAGCATCTCAGTTTGTATAAACAAATCTATAGCTCTAGAGTAGTAAAATCGATGTTGATGCCACCTCACTCTTCTTCTCTGATAATTTTAGCCTTAACATGAGGTGTGGCTGAGAGGAATTCATTACACATTCTATAGCTAGGAATTGCCTCAAGATTGGCAGAAGATTTTCTAGAGTTCTTGTTGGTGGTGAGGAGGGGTTGCCACTGACTAGGGTGACTGGGGTGTTGACCAGATTAATTCTAGACATTGCAAAGAAGAGAAAGAAATGGTAAAGAGAGAGGGAAGAAAGAGCGAGCCAGACAAAAAAATTGTAGATTAATAGTTAATAAGATGAATAAAAAAATGACAAAAAAATAGTCCGTGACTTAGTGCAACATTGCACCAAATACTTTATTATTCTTATACTGGTTAGTTTGTGCCAAGCTAATCCAGCTTAATCCCTGAGGCTAGTCCAGTCCGAGATAATCCGGTGCAACAAACATAATTCTTCTTTAATTTTGCAAGCAGAAGTTGTGGTGCTTAAATTGGGTCTTCTATACATTGGGCATTAAGACTAGGCATCAATTGTGTTCAAAAGGAAGGAGATTTAGAGGTTCTCATCGACATCATTCATGACAATGTGCAACTTCTTTGAATAATGAGTAAGCTTTCATAAACATTATTCATGCATATATTTTGGGAAGTTAACATACAATGCATGCAGTAGCGGAACTTTTTTTTGCTAAACAGGATATAGCATTATCCAGGTAAAGATGCCAAAGTTTTACAGGAAAGCCTACCCTGAGGCAAACAGCCAACAACAACTACAAGAAAAGAGTAGTGCAAGGAGGTACAGGAAACCATGACGCCACATCTAATGCTAAATCATCCCTCCTCACATTACCATATACGTTTGGGTGGGGGGGGGGGAGGGCAAGGAAGGCCGTCATTACAAAGAACATGAACAAGGGAAGATGGGGGTTTATCGACCTAAATATGACCATATACTTCCCTACTTCACGACGATGCCAAAGGGTCCGCAACCGAGTTGGCTAGTCTTGGAACCCAAGACCAGCGACAATCTTGAAAAGCCACATTCTATTGCTCTTAACTAGAATGGGAAAAGTTTCCCAACTGCCCTTCTTTGCCATATCCCTAAGGCAAGAAATTGATTCCTGGGAGTCAGACTCAACGATTACCGAATTCCAACCCCTACAAATCCCCAGCTTACACCCATGCATAATAGCCAATGCCCCCGCCATTGCTACACCTGTCGCCTTCACACCATACGTGCATGCCGCCAAGAACCTTGCATCTTTATCCTACGCCACCACTCTTGTAAATCCCAAACCTTCACTAGCCACCCAACTGGCATTGACATTAATCTTTACAAAGCCTGGACTCGGTGGAGGCCATCGGATACAAATATTCTATCTTGAGAACTGGGCACGAGCGTAGTGGTTGGTAGTGATTTAGCCTTTTTGAAGGTTCTAGCCGAATGGAAAATAGTAGCGATTACCTGCCTTGGGTAGATTTGTTGTTGGTTGAACTGGAAGTTACACCTTGATTTCCATATATGCTAGCATGTAAAGGCAATATATGATAACAGATTATTCCTCACCTCCTTCGAACCATTGGCCGTATCAAACATTTCTAGTAGCCAGTTTGCCCAAGTTATGATCTCCATCCGATTAATCCTTATATTAAAATTTTCCCCAAACCAAACCACCTCCACCCATAGGCATTGAAGAAAAAGGTGCTCAGCTGACTGTTCATGCGACTTGCAAAGAGGGCATAGGGTGATAGAGACGATCGTAAATATCATTATAATCACATTTATACTTGGTTTTCATAATTTCTTAATTCCAAATACAATGTACTAGTTATGACTATATGTCGTTAAGATCTATAAACGATCTAATTTGTAATTTGAAGCTTCTTGAAAAAATGGAGCAGCTGAGCAACTACAATTAGAGATGGAACCATATATTATTCAACATTATTACACCACATAGCCATTGCATCAAGGTTTACCCCATGATACCAACAGACGCTTCAAAATAAACAAATTCCAAAACCCAAAACCCAAAAACTAGCTAAAAATACTAGAAAGAAATTAAGGTTCACACATTACATTTAGGAACACAGTACAAATGATCATTTGATGCCTTCAAAGTCTTCAAGCAGCCACCACGCTGTGAAGCACGACTGTCTCGACGGTGAGGCCTGGGCCGAATCCGAACAGCACTCCCCACTCCAGTCCCTCTCCGCTTGTCTTGAGTCCTTTCTCGGCCGACTTCCTCCTCACCTCGTCCAAAATAAACAAAACACACGCACTCGACATGTTGCCGTAATCGGATAGCACTTGCCTTGTGGCCTCTAGTTTCTCCGGCTTAAGTGCCAACTTGGCCTCTACTTGGTCCAGAATAGCAGGGCCACCTGGGTGTGCAATCCAGAAAAGCGAGTTCCAGTCCGAAATGCCTATAGGCTTGAAGGCCTCATTAAGGCTTTTTTCGATGTTCTTCGAAATAAGCCCAGGAACGTCCTTCAGAAGGTGAAATGTAAGCCCGACTTCACGAAGATGTCCGTCAATTGCCCCATCACTGTCGGGGAGAATGGTTTGCGCCGCCGAGACCAATTCAAACAAGGGCTTCTCAACTTCGGGCACTGGATCCGCACCAATGATGACGGCCGCTGCACCATCACCAAACAAGGCTTGACCCACAAGACTATCAAGGTGGGTGTCACTAGGCCCGCGGAAGGTGACCGCAGTGATCTCAGAGCACACAACAAGAACACGTGCACCCTTGTTGTTTTCGGCCAAGTCCTTGGCCAAACGGAGAACTGTGCCTCCAGCAAAACAGCCTTGTTGGTACATCATGAGGCGCTTGACGGAGGGGCGGAGGCCCAAGAGCTTGGTGAGCTGATAGTCAGCGCCAGGCATGTCGACACCGCTGGTGGTGCAAAAGACCAAGTGGGTGATTTTGGACTTGGGCTGTCCCCATTCCTTGATGGCCTTGGTGGCAGCCTCTTTGCCAAGCCTTGGGACTTCAACAACCACCATGTCCTGCCGAGCATCGAGTGAGGGTGCCACGTACTCGCACACACTTGGATTCTCTTTCAAAATTTCTTCAGTCAAGTACATGTAACGCTTCTTGATCATGGATTTGTCACCTGAAAATTACATAAACATCACAAGAAAAGTTAACTACCACACATTTTGTTTTTGGTGCAAGCAATGCTACTAATCTGTTCCACCCGGAACAAAGGGAGAAGGATTTAAACCCAAAACGCAATGAATTAAACAAAAATGTCAAATCCAAAAGACCAATCCACGAATTACCACCCAACTTTATATGAAATGTTCAAATCCATTGGCAACACACAATAAAATTGTAGCCTTTTCTTTTTGTGGCATAACTCTCCTAATTTGGTTCATTTGCAGCAAGCAGCCTTACTTTTTAACGTGGCTGAAATAAATGTTTTGAAACTGACGTGCTAAATAAATAAAATAGAGTAACATTAAGGAGACTAAAATACATCCCCAAACCACATGAAATCAAGCAGCACAACAACCCCGGCCAGTCCACCAATGAGTCTAATTTACTCGAAGTTTTAATTTGCTAATGACTTAATTAAATATAATTAAAAGGGTAATTAAAGAAAATCTAGCCGTGTTTTCCTTGTAGTTTGCATGTTGTACACGTATACTGTTCTGCTGGAATGCTTTTCTCTTCCATTAATAGCAGAGCTCAATGAAGGGAGATGATAGGAAAGGAAACACAGATCTTTCTTCATTCATGGACCTTATACATATTAATTTTCTGCAACCTCAGTTACCACGCACATGCATATATAGCAATAGGAATAAGATATTGCAAACAAAAAAAATATATTAATCAACAGAAGAAAAAAAGAAAACGGAGAGGAAGTGAAGTGTACATACACATGCGCTGGAATTTTTCTTTGAGCTCAGCCTTGTGCTCGCTGTTGGTGATACGAAAGTAGTAGTCGGGGTATGTGGCTTGGTCTACACAATTGGGAGGAGTTGCAGTCCCAATGGCAAAAACAGTGGCCGGACCCTCAGCCCTCTGAGCCTTGCGAACTTCCTCGACGGTCACCATTTTTACTATGTATCCGATGGTCGAGAAAGATCAAATATGACAGAGGGCTAGAGCTAGCGCTAGAGGTGGTGGTGTTGTTGAAGGAGGAGGTGAGGGCGGTGTGACAAAATAGTGAGAGAAGTGGATTGTATTTATACAAGGAGGAAAAGAAGGGAAAGAGGTTAAAAGGGTAGATGAGGGTCACGTGATTGACCAATGCATGCCAGCCATCAGTAGGAGCACCAACAACCACCTACAGAAGGAGGGAAGGGGTTAAAAGGCTTCAGAGGCCTGCTGGCACGTGCATTTTTTGAGTTTGGCGTAGATTGCTGCCCATCGAACATTCGCATGATCTACATGTGGACCATGTTTCTTCTAACGTTTCACCACTTTAGCTGGTAATTTTAGTAGCTAAGTTTTAAATAACTTTTGCCACTTCGTACTACAATTTAGTGGTATTCCTCTTCATTTGTAAGTAAGAGGTCTTAGATTCGATTCTTGCTAAAGCCGAGTATGAACCACATTATGGCTAGCACATTGTGAGGCTAGACTCACTCTTCCTTAACATAGATAATATCGTTTGTTAAAAAAAATAAAGCTTTTAATATCTTTTTCAAAAATACTATTCTTACTATCTATTTATACCATCACTTGTACCATTTCAACAACACTATTCATATATTTTCTCTATCTCTTTCTTTTTATTCCTTGTACTTTTTTGAGATATGTAAAATATCAGAGCTAATAGATTTTCTAATTCAATGCAGAGTACTCAGTTGACCACGAATCAAAGCTATATATGATTACTAGCCTTCATGCATGCGCTCACGAGCGTGCATAAGGCATTTTTTGAACCATGGCGTGCTAAGCGCGACTTGCAAGTTTTAAATGTATTTGTATGCATAAATTGACAAAATGAAAGTCAAATATTTGAAGTAAATGAATAATCTTAGATCATGCTAGAAGAAACCCCTCATAAATCAATTAAAGCAACTGAATTCACATAATAAAATCGGTCTTTATAGAATTTGCATAAACAATAGAGAAAATAATATTTAATAAACAATTGATTGAATCACATTATTGCTAGCCCACTGTGAGGCTAAGCCCACCCCTTCCCCCCTTAGAGTAGATCATATCGTTTGTTAAAAAAAAAAAAAAATTCATTTGACAACTAATTTAATCACATTATTATCTGCGTGCGAAAGACCTTTTTTATAACCAACATTTAATAAACAACTGATTGAATCACATTATTGCTAGCCTATTGTGAGACTAAGTCCACCCCCTCCACTTTAGTGTAGATTGTAGATGCAAATTTCTTCCTCCTTGTTCTTGGACAAAATTGTACCTACAAAACAAATAACACTTTAGGTCAAGGCCAAGAGCCCACGATCAATTGGGGGGGGGGGGTGCTTTGGCAGAAGAACCTCTGATGCCAAAGTTAGAATTTTGAGGGAAAATGTATGGAGAATTTAGAGAATTTAGCAAGAGAATTGGAATTGAGTTTTGGAGAGAATGGGGGTGTTTATATAGGGGTGTGGCTGGCCCCCTTGGGAAGAGATGGACCAGCCACTTGGATGGCTTTTTGGGTGAGATTCTTGATTTGTAGCTAATTAGTAAATTAATTGAATAATAAATCAATTAATTTGCTAATTAATATAATTAAAAAGGAATGATTTGGGGGTTACCTTGTGGAGAAGATTTGATGAGGATGGATGAAATAGGTTTTGAAGTAATACTTATTTTGGGCACTTTTGACTTGGTTGAGGGATGATTGCCCCTTGCTTGTATGTAGAAATCTTGGTGTGCCTCAAGGGTAATTTTGTCCTTTTAACTCAGAAATCCATGTGTCGCCTCTTGATTATTTTTGGCTCCACAAATGCCCTCACACCTGTTGGGCTGCTCACAGAAAAGGGCAATAGGTGTAGAGATTTCTTGCTTTAGGAAACTTAGGATTGTTTCCTATTTTGATGTAGATTCCCTCTTCAATAGGAAATTAGATCCTTCTAGGAAAGGGAAATAAATTTCTCTCAAAGCTTATTTAAGTCCACCTTAAGTGGATTATTAAATCAACTTTGGAGAGCGATTTATTCTACCCTACAAGAGAGAGAGAAAGATGCCTCTACCTCTAGTAGCGCGCGACATAGGTCCTACCAGGTTGATTGCCCATTGCATGAATGGCCAAGGAATTGTTTGTGGGTGTAGTTCGCTGGTAGGCAGTGCTGGTACCAGCTTGTAACGTTGGCAGTGGTCGCACTTTTGTACTAACTCCTTAGTATCTTGGTGTATGGTAGGCCAATAGTAGCCTACGTTAAGAGCCTTTTGTGCTAAGGTTGGGCCTCCGGAGTGATTTCCATAATCACCTTCGTGTATTGAGCTTAGAACCTTCAAGTCATTGGGAGGCGCAAGGCAGTGGAGATGTGGTCTGGTGTCGGATCTTCAGATGAGGATGTCGTTCCACATGTAGTAGTGTGTTGCCTTTATTTGGAGCTTTCTAGACTCCAACCTTTCTATAGGGAGTTGGCCGTAGACTAGGTAGTCTATAATAGAACTTTGCCAGTTGGGAATTGTACTAACCTATGACACCACGACTGCCAGGTCCGCCTCTATGCTTGGCTTGTCTAGATATTGTATAGGAATAGAGCATTTGAGTTAATGGTCAACGGTAGAGCCTAGGTTGGCTAACGCATCCACGTGGACGTTGTCTGCCCGCGGAACTTGAGTGAGAGTGTAAGTCTGAAATGCCTCAAGTTACTTATGTACTTTCTCTAGGTATTGTGCCATCCTTGGATGTTTTGCCGTGTACTCCTCAGTAGTTTGGTTGGTGATTAGCTGGGAGTTGGAATGAATTGCAAGCTTCTTCATCGCCAAGTTTTTTTGCCATTCGAAGGCCTGCTAGTAGGGCCTCATACTTTGCTTTGTTGTTGTATGCTTTAAAGCCTAGAGTGATCGCCTCCTTGAACATTGAACTGTCTGGGGTAAAAATGACCACGCTTGCTCTTAAGCCTTTGTAGTTGGATGCACCGTCGACATGCATCCAGAAGTCTTGATTGGATGGAGCAGGCACGACTAAAGTGTGCTCAATTGCTTTTAGGGCATTGTTAGGCCGCTTTGTTGCGTTGCCTAGGCTAGGCGTGAATTCCGCTATGAAGTCTGCCAAGGCTTGGGCCTTTATCGCTGTGCAGGGTCAGAAAACTAAATTGTATTGGCCAAGTTCCAATGCCTATTTCATCATTCGTTGAGAAGCCTCCGGACCATGTAAGATTGATCGTAGAGGATATTGAGTCATGATGATGACTGTATGAACTTGAAAGTATGGTCTAAGCTTCCAAGCCAAAACAACTAGCACCGAAATTAATTTTTTGATCTTCGAATATCTTGTTTCTGCATCGAGAAGAGCTTTAGATGTGTAGAATACCGGCAATTAGGCCCCCAACTCTTCTTGTATGAGGGCAGAGCTCGCTACTACTTCTGAGATTGCCAAGTAGATGTATAAGTCCTCTGCTACTTCTGGCTTGGATAGTAAGGGAGGTGATGTAAGATACTTTTTCAGGTCTTAGAAAGCTTTTTCACACTCTTCATCCCATTTGTCTAGTTGTGCCCTCTTGATGGCCTTGAAAAAAAGGCTTGCATCAACCGATGGACCGCGAGAGTATGCGGCCAAGAAGCTAAGCAGTTGGTTCCCAGAAGTTGAATCTACTGGTAGATTGATTCGGGGAAGCGGATAAGGATCTTTTAGGCATGCTTTGTTGAGGTTGGTGTAGTCTACGCAAACCCTCCATTTGCCCTTCTTTTTCTTCACAACTAGCACGATGTTGGTAAGCCATGCTTAGTGTGCTACTACTCTATGAATCTGACCTCGAGTAGCTTGTTAATTTTTTCTTCAATGATCGCTACACGTTTAGGTGCGAAATGTCTTCTCTTTTGGATCACCGGTTTGGCAGTGGGGTAGATGTGCAGCTTGTGGTAAGCTATCTTGGGGTTGATGCCGGGCATGTTAGAAGGTGACCATACAAAGATGTCACGATTTTCCCTAAGGAAAGCTGTGAGTTCTTCCTTATCGGCTGGGCTTAGATGTGACCCTATTCTAGCCGTCTCAACTTGCTGTAATTGCTATTTGGTAGCTTTTTTGTCCCTTTGGACCTCAGTAGCCTTTATAGGGTTAAAGGCTCTCTTCTTTGATTCCTTCAATACTTGCACAGTGCATCGTTGAGATGCAACCTGGTCAGACTTGATCTCTCTGACTCCTCCTCCCAGGATAAGGAATCAGATTTTTGATACTTGACGGAAGTGAAGGTATCTAGCTTGATCAACCAAGGTCTCCTAAGAATCCCATTGTAGGGAGATAGGTCACTTACGATCATGAATGTCTACTTTAAGACAACTGGTGGTGTTTTCACATCAAGTGTGATGTGACCGATGTCAGTCGAGGTGTGCCCGTTGAATCCGGTGAGTACCTTTGCTTGGCGTATGATTGTGCTTTCCAGGCCTATCTTCTAAATGATTGAGAGTTGAAGTAGATTGACTACACTTTCGTTGTCAACTATAGCATGGGTTAGTTGGACAGATACTATTGTAGACATGTAAATTTCGTTGCATACAAATGATACATCACAAAGCTCCATGTGGCATATGATTCATCACAAATGGATTGTCGCAGCTTTGAGGTGAAGACTATCCACACACCATTGCAAACTCCAAACTTGAAGCAATCATTAAATCGTTCGTCCGAGATTAAGTTATCACGACCCTTGGATCAACAATCACGCATCTACATCAAATTTGAAGATTGAATAAGAGGAAAAGTTGTAAACAGAGATTGTAACCTACAAATTCAAATCAATACAAATCTACTCTGTAAATGTGTTCTCGTTTCATCCTATATAAAATTTCCGTGTTTACAAATTTGACACACTCGATGGGACCTCTCTGCCTCTCATCTCTGCCTTCAAATCCGTAAAAAAAGCACAAATGGTATCAAGGAAGGATCAAGCTATTCCTGCTACCAACGTGAAGAACAAGGGCATCCTTGCCGCAAGTTGTGGCACTTTAGGCGTCACAACCCAAAGCAAGGCAAGAACTCTCTCCGCCGTGCCTTCTGCCTTCTACCTCTCCATCAACTCTATCGAAGGA